TGCCCTGCAGAATTTGGCGTTTTGGGCTCTTAAAGAGATTTAGGAGAGCCCCATGGATCCCTGTGTCGCAAGAGTACAAGCGTGTCTGAGGCTCAGCTCCAAAGCCTACTTCTTTTGATTTTAGGTATGAAGGTCTCAGGTTTTACCCCTGGCATCAGTCCAAATAAAGTTCCTTGTACCACTTACAGACATCCTCTGGCAGGGAGTTATTTCTGGACCCCTAACAGGGAGGAGATGAAGGTGGACATAATGAACTTGTAGACGAGAGTCCACAAGATGCTGCTGTCTGATAAGGTGAGGTGCAGACAAGGCCGCCTGCTTTTCCCCATCTTCAGGTGCTGCATTAGGGCAGACAGAGGGCTTGAGCCTTGTCCATTGCACAATTTCCTCCTGACATAGAGAAGTAGTCCTCACAAATACATACCGCGCCCTAGAAAAACAAGAAGGCTGCAGATCCAGTTCTTCACTTTCAGCCTTGCCCTGTGGAATGTCTTGTTGTCCCTTGACTTGGGCATGGCTCTGTGCTTTGCTGCCCAGTCAAGGTGCTAGTGACGCTCTGTGGCCCCAAACATTGGACTGCACGTAAAGGAGCCCACCACGTTAATGATGCACATGCTCTTGCTTCCTCCACTGTGTCACCCACTGCACACCTCACTAGTAATGAGTCAGGCTATGTCAGCTGTTGAAGGGCAAACTGACATTCCCTTCAGCATCTTTTTAATATTAAAATATTAGAAGTAATGGGATGAGTGCCTTAGATCTTCTCACAATAGTTTCAAGGGTTAAGAAAACCTGTTGTGCTTGGTGCTGAGTATATGAAGAGCTTGCACGTGCTACTGCTGTCTGTCCTTGCAGAAGACAGCTTCTCGCACCACTTGATATGGCTCACAAACATTTGCCTGGTCCTGTCTGGCCATGTCATTACAGCCCTGCTGTAGTGCAGAAAAGAAGGGTGAGACCATCACAGGTGAGGTCAAGAAAAGGCGTCACAGAAATGAATCTTCCAGCGTGTGCTTAGAGATGTTGGTCCCTCTCTGTGTCAAAGACTTTCAGGACTTCAAGGGAACCTGAAAACTGTGAACATATCATAGAGGGGTTAAAAAGCAAAGACAACTTGGCTCTCCATTCGCGCAACCTAACTGAACCAACATGCTGACCATTTGGAGTGGACAGATGCTCCTCATGCCTCTGGATCTCTGAATTGCCATGGGCTACTCCAAAATATATACCACCAAGATGAACAAGAAACTGGAATTCCAGCTGTGCTTCCAGTTTCTCTTTGGTTGTGGTGGCAAGCTGGGCTCTCCCTGTGCGTTATGTGATTATAAAGTCTGTCTAAGGCAGCTGGATCCTAGAAACTGTGCCATGGAAGCACCAAAGTTGATTTGGGTGCTGTCAGGAAGGGCTTGGAAGAAACTCCCCATAGACAGTCCCCTCAAAAGACAGAATTTATTTTCAAAAGTTTATTTTTTTTAATTTATCTTTATAAATCAATAAGCTATAGACAGTCCTTTGCTAGATGCTTTAGTTAGGGTGTAAGTGCCTATGGCTGCTCAAGTCTCTAGATAGAAGAAAAAGTAAAGTTGCTGTTATAAGGACATAGGGATGTAGCTGAAGAGTGGATGGCTGACCAAGCGTCTATGTGGGTGGCTGTCCAAGGGCTCACAGGACCAAGACCCCCACATTCTGGGGACATGTTCTTCAGTAGCTTGTCTTCAGCAGGGATTTTGCTGAGGGTTGGGTTGTAGCTCAGAAGTACTGCCTCAAGATATTTTGCAGGCCACTTTCAATTAAACTTTTTATTCCAAACAATATTTAAAACACTACTTCAGTTCTGCAGGCCAGCTATAATACCTGTAGGGCCTTGCAGACCATAGAGGTCTGTGCACAAAAGCTTTGAGAGCTACTAGCCTCAGATCATTTCCCCAGTGTGCACCATGGGTCACCATCCAAAACAGGCTCAGTTTGATGCAGTCAAAGAAATGCCTAGGGACAGATTTGATGGATTGGTTCAATATCTTCTGCAGTCCATATAGTTCATATCTCTGCCAGTATCTGATCACATCGGAGCAGCAGGTCAACATGTGGATGTAATTGAATTTTGAAGCTTGCACTGTTGTTTTGGATTGAATGGATGCTTGCGTTTGCACATGTCTTCTTAAGTCTGACCATAACGTTGCTGCATTTTTAACCACTTTTCTAATTTGTAATTGTTATGAAAACAAATTGTAACATTAATTGCCTTGATTGATATAAAACTTGGATAAACAAAAGGAAGTTTAACTATGTCCATCTATGCCAAGTGACTGGGGCCAGTTGTTCAAGCAGTAAAAAATTTGGGGCTGTTGTCACCCCAGACTTCACTGAAGTTAGAGTTGAGGTTGTTGGCCCATTTAAAGCTACATTTTGAAGCTTTGATGGATGTTTTAAAGAGGAGAAGTGACTACTTTCCTGGCCCTGTTTGCAGAATAGCAGAAGACTGGGATAAAAATGCCCCCATCCTCCAGCATGGGCTGGTTTGCATCAGCTGTCAACCTCCATGGATCTCTAAAGCAAAGGGAACAGCTCTGTCTTGGGGCTGGTCTGAAGACCATGCCCAGGTAAAGCCTAACTCTGCATCAGCCCCCAGGAGGGACTAGGCAACCCTGCTCCTGTTTCTGCCAGAAATGGAAGCCTCAGAGGTACCTGATCCTGCCCTGAGGCATCACAGCCCAAAAGGACATGGACACCAGGGGGATAGTCCATAAAACCATCATAAAACAGCATAAAACCCATTAATTTTAAACGTGATTTCAGAGAGGCTCCCAGGGGCAACTGCTGACCTGCCAGAGACCTACCAGGGCTGAGTCTGTCCCCACTGGAAATCACAGTTTTTACTACAAAGTAAGGAAAGACAAAGCAGTCAGATAAACATGGAACAAGTCTGGAGAAAAAATATGGTAAGAGGACAACAACAGATTCCCTCCAGGCACCCAGCCAGGCCGGGAACCTTAGGGGAAAAATAAACCTCCCTCAGCTAGGCTTGAACCATGCAAGAGCTGCCAGCCTGCGGGTTCCTCGCTCCCAGGAGACTTGAAGACTATCTTGGCTGATGCAAAAACCAAGGGGCCAACTAGAGAATCCAGGGAGGATGGGTGATTTTTGGATAAGTGATGGCCAAAGATAAAGGGCAATAAAGAAACAGGCAGCTGGGAGCTTGTGATAGGCTGGTCTGGAACCCATCTCGCAGAGCAAAGGTGGAAGGGACGGGGTTTGAGGTGAGGGCTGATGGCTGGCAGGACCACTTAGCTCCTGGAGCCCAGCTATGGATACCCGATACAGCAGCTGAGAGTGGAAGTGCTGAGTAAAGGGGGGAGATCTCATCCTCAGGGTGAGCAGACATCAGTGGATACCACTTTGCTGTGGTGGGAGGGAGCCCATGGTAACAATCCATGGAAAGCCCTTTTAGCCCCAGACCTGCTGGCAGCCACAGCACTGCTCTGCTTTTCACACTCCTGCATTAGGCTTTTTTTTTTTTTTTGTCCTCCCTGTAGCTGTGCCTGCAAAAATAGCACCATGGCATGGGTTAATTTTTCACTTTGCCCTTAGGGACATGTAGAAAATGTTTTGGCTCATCCCCAGCCCGTCCCTTGGCACTGCCCTTTTGCAGAGATGACTGTGCAGGGTCCTTGCAGCATAACAGAGTCACTGATCAGCACCCAGATCCGAGCCGTTTTCAGGACAGCTTAGCCCAAGAAACGAAGTAATGTGTGCTCTGGTGGTGCTGCAACAACACGGACATCTGAGCTTGGCATTAGCAGGCAACAGGGATGGGGCTTCATCACTGCCTGGGGAGGGGGACTGGGAGCAGCCTATGCCTCCAAGCCCTGAGAGGTGTAGGGGAGGCTACAGATGCATGGGGTGCCCTTAAGGAAAGGGTCTCTCTCCGACCCTGGGGCAATGCACCCTACCCCCTCCCAGTGCCCCAGCACCCAGCAGCAGGATGAGGGGCCAGGATGTGTCCCTCATTGCCCACCCTCTCCCATGCCATGGGATATTCTCTATTCAGGCTTATTTACCTGCTGGACATCGCAAGCCATTTCCAACACTGGCAGCAAGGCTCTGCATGGCCACAGGACACCGGTGAGTGAAGGAGAGAACATCCGTGTCAAAGGGTGGCTGTAGCTGGAGGGCAATGGGGTCTTTAATTTCAAGAAGGGCTGTCATGGACTCCAGGGCTCTCGACGGTCATGTCAAGGAGATTTTTTTGTCAACTTTTGTTTTTTCCTGTAGCAGTGGCCGTGATGCTACTGAGAGGGGAGGGTTTCATGAGTCATGGCTCAGCAGGATGGGCTCATTCCAGACTCAGGGGCCAGTTAGATTTCAGCAAACGATTACAGGCTTTGGTGAATCTACACCAGAGATCTGTTTTTCCATAATTTCTTCCAGCAAAGAGGATAAATCATTATCACAGTATTACTGAGTGCTAAAGCTTTATTTCTGCTTGCTCAGTTTATGGGAAATGAGGATTCCCTTTACAGCAGCATGCAACAAGACTGTGGTTTGAAAATATAGCCCCTCTCTCTTTAGGTTAATCACAGACCGGCTTTTGGCTTTTTTTTTTTTTTTTTTTTTTTTTCTTTTTTTTTTTTATGTCCTTTTTCCCAAAAAGCCCTCGCTTAA